GCGGGGCGCGGAGCTCGGGGTGCGGGGCACGGGGAGTGGGAGGCCGAGGCAGGAACAGCCTAGATGCGGAGGCGCCGCGCCCCCGCACCCCACGCCGGGTCCCCTGCGCCACCGTGGCGCGCCGAGGGCGGGGTCCCCGCACCCCTGCACAGACTGGGTCCAAAGTCACCTTGAGGGCGCCCGTGGCCCGCATCTGCCCGCACCCTGCTGGGGGACCTGAGCCTCTGCGGAGGGCGCCTGAGCAGAGTGGACGCCCGCGTGGGGGCAGGTGCGGGGGCCTGGGTGGAAAATGGGGAGCTCCTAGCACCGCGGAGAGGCCAGGCCTCCCAAGCATTCACCAGGGCCTGCTGTGCGCCAGGTGCAGGGCTGACAGGGGATGCAGCTGTGCGCCCTGCCCCGCTGCAGCTTTACTGGAAGACGCAGCCAACTGACAAGGAAGCAGGCACCCGAGGAAAGCAGCAGGAAGAAGGCCCAGGGGTGCATCGTGGGCTGCAGTGTTTGGGACCTTGGGAAGCCCTTGCTGTCAAGGGGACATCTTGACACAAGAGAGTCCGGAGCGCTGAAGAACCAGCGCTTGGGGCTCTGGGTGCTGCAGGTTTAAAGGCCCTGGGGTGAGGCACAGAGAGGAGTCAGGGGGACAGGGCGGTACAGGAGGTGACAGGCCAGGCACTGTTCAGAGCAGCTGTGCAGTGGGGCAGAGAGTAATGTTATGGTCTGACTTTTCTTTTTATGAAAATATTTTATTATAGGAAATCTCAAACATTTACATGAAGAGCCCAGGGCTGGGAGTGTGGGTCAGTGGTACAGCAACTGCCAAGCGTACACGAGGCCTACGGCCGCAGACAACAACGCAGATGATGATGATGGTGATGATGGTGATGATGACGGGGCCACAGGGATACAAAGCTCCCCCAGCTTCAGCAGCATCAGGGATCCCCAGCGCTGCCTCAGCAATATGCGCCCACCCTGCCCTCCTCACTGGCGGCTTTGTTCATTTAGATGAACATTAAGCATTTTGGAAGTACAGCATGCAGACTCATGGGCTTCCTCAAGAGCTGCACCCTCTGTGGGAATGGAGCATGGCCATGGGAAAGGCCCAACATAGATTCCTTTTCTCTGCTAGATTAGGGGCATTGTCTGCCCAGTTCTTCTCAGGTCACTGTTGCCAACCGAGTTTTTCAGACTTCATTCTGTCTGAGTTTTCAGACTCCCAGGTGAGGTGTTCAAAGCACCCCATGTTACGCAGGTATTTGTAAGATCTGCAGTGACTGCTTTCCTTCTGCTACTGGCCAGCTTTGTGTTTTTTGCTCTTTCTTCATCAGTCTTGCTAGGGTTTTGTCAACCTTATTTTCATTCTTTTTTTTTTTTTTTTGAGACAGGGTCTCACTCCTTTTCCTTCTTCCTGGTGAAGCTGGAAGGTTGGCTCAGTGGTTTTTAGTCTAATTTCCTACTCTCTGCATTTAGAGCTATAAAAATTCACCTTTTTGCACACTGCTTTACTCCCTCACAAGTTTCAAATTTCTTTTTTAATTTTTCTTTAGCTCAAGATTTCTATGCATGAAGGTCATCCAAGGCCGTGAGCTACATTCCCAGAATTTTTTCAGTCAGTCCTGGGGATTGAACACAGGGTGTTAACAATGAGGTACAGCCCTAGTCCTTTAAATTTTTTTTTTTTTAATTTTGGACAGGGTCTCACTAAGTTGCTGAGTTGCCCAGGTTGGGCTCAAACTTGTAACCCTCCTGCCTCAGCTTCCCAGATCGCTAGAATGACAGGTGTACAGGACCATAGCTGGCTCTGAAAAAAAGTATCTTAAAATCTCCACTATGGTCCCACACTGGAAACAGCCAGGAAGTCCTTCAGTAGGTGATTGAATAAACAAATGGTGGTACCCATACAATGGACTATGCTTAGCAGGAAAAAGGAATCAAACACAGTCACTTGAGTGATTCTCAGATACATTATATTCAGTAGGAGAAGCCAAACGTGAAAGGTCCATACTGAATGATTCCATTTAATGACATTGCAGTGAGTGCAAAATGACAGACATGGACGTGGGTCAAGTTGGGGGAGAGGGGTGACTGTGGCATGGGGAAGACCTTAGGGGTGCTGATAGTGCCTGTGCCTTTGTCAAGATTTAAAATGGCCACTTATCAAGAGTGAATGTGGGCCGGGGATATAGCTCAGCTGCGTGGCAACTGCCTGGCAAGCGCAAGGTCCTCAGTTTGACTCCTGGTTTTAAAAAAAAAAAATAAAGAGTGAATTTGACTGTATGTAAATTCTAAGGTAATTCTAATTTCCCATATAAACGGGAGCCAGTGTGACCATGACTTCTGGGATCTCCCCTCTTTTTTGCTACTCTGTTATTGTCTGAGGATTCTGCAGATCACCGGTGCCTGGAATACATGGCTGGGTATGGTCTGGATGCAGCCTAAGTGTCCCTGTGCCTGAGGCTTGGTTCCCGGAGCAGGACAGGAAAGGAGGAGCCTGGTGGAAGTGCAGTTCTCCCAGGGCCTCACAGTTCTCTCGAGGGAGTGTTATTAAAAAGCACCTCCTCAGGGGGCTGGGGATTTAGCTCAGTGGCACAGCACCTGCCTGGCAAGCTCAAGGTCGTGAGTTCGATTCCTGGTACCGGAAAAACCAAAAAAAAAATGCCCAAAAAAAAAAAAAAAAAAAAGCATCTCCTCTTCAGCTCCCCAGCCCCTCATCTGGGCCCAGGCATGGCCAGAGACCTCTCTGCAGAAAGTGTCCTCCTGCAGTGCACCAAGGACTTCTGTGGGCTTGGGTGGGGCCCAGCATGGCATCACTGCAACTGCCCTGGCTGGGACCAGAGATGTCCCCAAAGGCTCAGGGCTTTGAGGCCAAATGCTGAGGGCCTTTGGGGAGGTGGCTGGGTCGTAAGCTGACCATGCCAGCAATCAGGGTACTGAATCCACAGAGGAGGCCATGTCTGGTGGCACTATTGGCAGGTGACAGAATGGGGTGGGGCCTGGTGGGAGGGAGTGGGTCATGGGGTATGACCTTGGGCTGTGACCTTGGGGATACAGCTGCCCGTTCCTTCTCCCTCCTTCTGCCCCTCTCTCCCCCTTTCCTGTCCCCTTCCTGGCCACCACGATGTCCTACCTTACCACAGGCCACAGCAATGACCCCAGCTGATGATGGACAGGAGCCAAAGTGACCCTCTCCTCCTTGTAGGTGACCTTCACAGGGCTTCCTCACAGCACAGGGAGCTGAGCAGCACAGCCACCATCTTGGTAGTAACTGCTACTTTGCCCTCAGGTGACCCTGGCACACCTTCCAGACCTTAGGCCAGAGGAGGTGGTAAAGACAGCCCCGAGGGCCTGCAGTCACAGCACCAACTGTGGGGGGCACCCTGCTGCCACATCCCATCTTTCCCGGCCAGTGCAGCTGTCCTCCTGTCCTTCTGTTTCTTGATCCTCCTGCCTTGCTGCCACCAGGGACACAAATCTGTCCTCAGTCCCCAGTGAATCTTCAGATGTTCCAGTTTCCTTCAGAAAGATTAAAAACTTCAGAAGGGAGGGAAACTATGTGTAGGTAAAAGACTTAACTCACTCCGCTCCTCTTGAAGATATGGAAGAACCCTAGCTACGGGTGTGGAAGGGGTCATGCGGCTTCCCTGAGCACAGCCATCCTGGAAGCAAGGACAGCTCTCGCCCCGCCTTTCCCATCAAGATTCTTCTGCCACCAAGTGCAGCTAGGACACAAGAGACCCTGCTGCAGCACTGTCTCATAGCACTGCCATTGGCCTCCATCCAGAGAGCAAGGCATAGGCATCACAGCTGCAATGACTGTATGTTTTGCTCCCTGTGACACATGATCTTCAGTTCCAACATGGGACTCTCTGTATGGTCAGGTTTCCCATCACTAGGGCAAAATACCTGACACCCACTTCACACCCAGCTCAGTGTGAAGACCGTAAGTTCAATCCCCAGCATCAAAAGGAAGAGTAAGGGTGGGATATCTGAAACAAAAGGCTGGGGATGTCACTCAAAGCTCCCTGGGTTCACGCTCCAGTACCGGATGGGGATAACTTGCAGGGAAGAGGTAAAGCTGAGTGTGGTAGTACATGTCTGTAATCCTAACATTCAGGAGGCTGAGGCAGGAGGATCACCACAAGTTCCAGCCCTGCCTAGCTTACATAGTGAGTGTTATGGTTTATGTCTGGATGTCCCCTCAAAGCTTCATGTGGTCATGAGGGGCAGGCTGTGCAAAGGTGGCTGAATCTAGAGTTTGTGACTGATTCATGGTCCAGTACTGGGGTTAAGGGTGTAAGTGCTACACCTGCCCTAGGGAGAGTGACCTACATACAAAATAAGGGACAGAAAGAGGTTGTCCCTCTTGCTCTTGCTTGCTTTTGCTGTCTTCTACCACTATGAACTGTTACTCTCTGCCATGTGCCACCCTGCCTTGGACTGATTATGGACTGAAACCTGTACAAACTGTGAACTGAATAAATCTTTCCTCCTTTAACTTTGGGTGTTGGATGTTTTGTCTCAGCATCAAGAGAAAAGTAACTAAGACAGAATTTGATACCAAGAGTGGGATTGTAGCTGTGACATGACTTGACCATGTGGCTCAAGAACCTTTGGAACTGGATTATTGAAAGGAGAAAAGTTAGGAAAGGTTCAGAGATGCCACCTGAAAAAGCTGGAACAACTTAGGTTATACTGTGTGGGAGATTCTGGTTAGGGCTCAGATCAGAAGGTTGGTAGAAATCCTGGCAGTTAGGACTGGCAATCCAGGGCAGGCACAGTGGTGCATGCCTATAATCCCAGCACTCGGGAGACTGAGGCAAGAGGATTGCTGTGAGTTTGAGACCATCCTGGGCTACAAAATGAGTTGAAGGCCAGCCTGAACTGCATAGTGAAACCCTGTCTCAAAAAGGGGAAAAAAAAAATTCCAACCCATTTGGGAACACTCCTGTCTCTCAGGAGCTATTTCTAGCCCCCATTCCCCCATTCCTATTCTCTATTCCTTTTCTCCAATAAATTTTCCTACTCTTAAAAGTAAAAACAGATCGATGATGACACCCAAAAAAAATTCCTTAGAAAAGATGAACAAAATGAGTGAAAGCTCTAAAAAAAAAAAAAAAGAAAAAAACAGTATCAAGAGGTTTCTGTTGGGAAAGACTACAGTGGCTCTTGGACTCCAGACAATGTGTGTTATGGCTTGGCCGAAAGTTTGTGTGCATTTTCCTCATG